TGCTGTTCAGTAAACCCGTCGGGTACCGCATCTCAAGGTTTTTGGGTGTTTGGCGCATTACAAGGACACCCATGGGCATTTAGATAAATTTGCTACACAAGGGCGGGTTGTTGTCTTCTTGGGGTATGCCACTTCTCAGAAGGGCTACCGTCTCTATGATTTTGTTTCCAAGCAAATGGTGACGTCTCGTGATGTGCATTTCCACGAGACCTTATTCCCATTCCAAGAGCACACAACAGGTCTTGCATTGGGTCCCTCAGCCCTCCTTTCAACTTGATATGGATCTTCCTTCTTCCTCGCCCAGTGTTGCGTCTCCACTACATGTTGTGGACTCACCACATGAGGAGGAGACTCCCTTTAGCAGCTCATTTGATTCACTACAGGATCAGTCCAGCGCTGCCTCGCCTGGCCGCTCTTCCTCCAGGACAGGTGATGTTGCTCGTCCGTCGTCCCCAGCTTGGGCTTCTCCCACGCCCCCTTGCTCGCCTCAATCGGCCACTTCTCTTGTCAAGCCCCTAGTATACGTCGCTCCTCCATTGCGGTGCAATGATCGCGACCGGGTCCGCCAAATACCTCGAGCACTACGATACTTCCTTTTTGGGTGACAAGAGAAGTACTAGCAACCTCGTCCAATATCCCTTGTATTCACATGTTGTATACGATGGTTTCAAACCCTCATATTATGCTTTTCTTGCAGCTGTTACCCGGGGCGAAGAGCCGATTGCTTTTCGACATGCAATTCGGGATCCACGGTGGCGGGCTGCCATGGTTAAAGAAATTGAGGCTCTTGAGGCGAATGGTACCTGGAGTCTTGTGTCCTTGCCGCCGGGAAAGCGTACCATGTAAAATGGGGTTACAAAATAAAACACTATCCATACGACAGCATCGAGCGATTCAAAGCTCGGTCGAAAGGCTACACACAGATTGAGGGTCTGGATTTCCATGATACGTTTGCTCCCATCGCAAAGCTTGTGACTGTTGGTTGTTTGATTGCAGTCTCCATTAGCAAAGGCTGACATCTTCATCAACTCGATGTTAGTAACGTTTCTTACATGGTGATCTTGACGAGGAAGTTCCTCCAGGTTTCAAGCAGCCTGGTGACAACCGCGTTTGTCGTCTTCACAAGTCGCTTTATGGCCTCAAACAGGCCTCTCGCAACTGGTACCAGAAGTCAACCACTGCTCTGCTTGAGTTTGGATTTCACTCCTCACTTGCAGATGCTGCTTTGTTTATCTACCAACGGTGGAGCACTCATGTGAGTGCGCTTATATATGTTGATGATGTCCTCTTGGCCGGCAATGATCTTGACTTCATTTCTAGGGTAAAACGGTTCCTTGATGATCGGTTCAGCATCAAGGATCTTGGTTCTCTTTGATATTTTCTAGGCATTGAAATTGCTCGGACAGCTATAGGCATTGTTCTCAGTCAGCGTAAGTATGCGCTTGACATCTTGGAAGATGTAGGAGTTCAGGGAGCTCGTCCTAGTTCTTTCCCGATTGAGTAGAATCATCAGCTTACTTGTCCATTTGATGAAGTTCTCACTGATCCTTCCCAGTACTGGCGCTTGGTTGGTCATTTACTATATCTTATGAGTACGCAGCCTGATATCACATATGTTGTTAATATACTCAGTCAATCTGTTCATGCACCCAGTCAGTTGCATTTGGATGCGGCTTATCGCGTTTTGTGATACCTGAAGCCTAGTCCGGGTCAAGGTATTTTCTTCTCGTCTTCTAATCCTCTTTAGCTGACAGCCTATTGTGATGCAGATTGGGGTGGTTGTAAAAGTACTCAGCGATGCACGACTGGTTATTTCATCACCTTGGGTGGCGCTCCGATCTCCTGGCTCACCAAGCAGCAAAAAGTTGTTGCCCATTCTTCTATCGAGGCCGAGTATCGTGCAATGGCCATTACAGTCAACGAAATTTTATGGCTTCGGTGGTTGCTGAGTGAACTTAGCGTTTCTCAGACTCCTCCAACATCGATGATGGGTATTGAACAAAGAAGGGAGTGTGTTGGTTTCTTCAAAATTTTGGCCAAGATTAGGTCTGGTCTATGGGTTGGGTGATGACATGGAATAGCATAGGTGGCTTATAGCTATTTATTATTATTATTATTATTATTATTATTATTATTATTTTGTGTGACGTGAAAGGATGACTAAGCAAGGGAGACAAAATTACCGTTTTGATATTCGCTCAAAGGTTTGTGACCGATTTATTACAAATTAAAGGTTTGTCACCTTTTTGTACTAATGGCATGTTTGGAGGTTTGGATTCTCCAAACAAATGCATTTAATTAATTTATGTATTATCATTTTGGAGGTTTGGATTCTCCAAACAAATGCATTTAATCAATTTATGTATTATCATTTGATCTATTGATTCAATGCATGTATTAGGAAAATATTTTGTTTGGAGGGACAATTCCTTGTTAACATTCTCAACTTTTGGAAGAGATTGATAATCATTCATTTTGAGTGATTATAGATGAGCCTATAAAAAGATAATACATGAATTCTAACTCAAATTTAATCTTATCATTACATGTATTGACTAAATACCTCACTTGCAATCTCATCCTCCAAACGACCCCTAAGTGTAAAGATTTCTGACATTTTATGCTAATTGCTCCACTTCCCCACTTTCTCTATTGTTACTCTAGACCAAGGTTGTTAAACTCCTACCGTCCCCTCGGTTAGACGCAGTTAGACCAAGTCGGGTTTAAAAGCGACCTCCAAAAAGTCGTTGGTCTGACACCTAAAGAGGGAGGAGGGAGAGAGAGGGAAGGGAGATGGTGGTGAGTTATGGACAGCGTTGTCATGCCGACCGGTTCAACCAGGTCACCAAAGCGACTAGAAATGGGCCTGTATTTTGCTTTGGTAAAATCCAGTCAGATCCAGAAATTTTGGTTAGTTAAACCAGAAACCGAAATTTAGTGTTTCACCCATGATATCCAAAAATAAACACCCTTCATAGGGTTTGAATAAAATACCTCAAGTTCATTAGTTTCAATTATACATCTGCAGGCTATAAGCAACTTTGGTGTATATATTAACTTTATATATTATATATACAATACTATATTTAACACAAATCATTATAAACATTAATAAAATTCATTTTATATACTGTTATTTTTACGCACAATTCTTAGCTATAAATTATTTTGTGTGAAATAATTGTTCTAATTGCTTTTTTATGACTAATTTATTTGGAATTGAGGATTTTCATTTTATTCATTTTATTAAAAACAACATAACCAGTATGAATACTGATTGTACAACGGCCAGACCATTCTACTTGCAAAATCGGTGCACTGGCATAAATTGGTTTGATAACCTTGGTTATGGGGGTTAGATAAATTTTCTTTTGTGGGATCTGAGTTTTTAATAAATACATGTAAGATAAATTTTATTTCAGTCACTAAAATTTTAAATTACTACATTATATATACATATATGGCACAAGCTAGCATACGTCAGGCTTACGCTGTACGCCTGTGTTCACACTTGGTTTTTGCACTTCAATATATTTCACTGAATCAGAACCGTCGGTTATTATTTTTTAGATTAAATGAATCGCGTGGCTTGGGTTAGAGAATTAGGGACTGAGGTTTATCCATTAGAGGTTAGGGTATAGTATCATGCCCAAAATTTCGGTTAATTCCTGCTCTAAATAGTAAAACTCGACTGGCGTACAATGTACGAATGACATACGCTAGCCTTTGCCATATATATTTAGAAAATATATAAATGGTTCAAACAGATTGGACCCCATCAAATCAATAAACCTCAAATCACTTGCTTGACTAGCTCAATGACTTATTCTGGTTTGACAACCTTACTCTAGACTAAAATTATTCATGGATCTAAACTTTTCATTTTCTAACTTACTATTGTAGTGGTCTCAACAAGGTTGTCAACTAGCGGGTCGACCCAGAGGACTCACTTTGACCCCGACACAGTGAGAAAATGAGTCGCACACACCCGCGGGGTCAACCCTGCAAAGTACCGTGTTGGATGTCAAATTGTGTCTTTTTTTCTTTGGTTTGCGAAATGCGCCTACTTTCCAGTTTTCTTTTTCACCTAATCCAATCTTCGAAATTATAAGTTGAATATTTAAATATTGATGTTATCTAAGTGTGAATTTTTACTACATGGATTCAAGTACACACATGCTATTTTGGTGTAATATTATATGTTATTACTAGAGATTGGAAATAATTTATAGATATATAAACAATATAATAATTTTTTTCATATGTTCGAATTAAACCATGTTAAAAAGGTGGACCGATATGATAACTTTTTTCATATGTTCGAGCTAAACCATGTTAAATAGGTTGGACCATGGTTGTCAAACCGGTCTCATGCTGGCCGGTTCAACCGGTACCGGTCACCAAACCGGCTGGAAAGAGGCCGGTATTTAACTGTGGTCAAATCTGGTCAATGCCGGTCAGACCCGATCAATTCCGGAAATTCCGGCCGGTTACCAGAAACCGGAATTCAATGTTACACATATTTTATCCAAAAATAAACACCCTTCTTAGGATTTGAACCAAGTACCTCATGTTCATTTTAGACTCTCTTATTCACGAGTAGGCTACAAGCAACTTTTATGTACATATTAACCTTATATATATTATATATCTAACACTAAATTTTACACAAATCATTATAAACATTAATAAAATTCATTTTATATAATTTTATTTTTAAGCATCTAATTGTTTAGTATTGGTTACCAATTCTTAGCTATAAATTATTTTGTGTGAAATAATTTTTCTAATTGCTTTTTGATGACTAATTTATTTGGAATTGAGGATTTCCATTTGTCTCATATATTTTATTAAAACCGGCACAATCGGCATGAATACTGGTTGTACCACGGTCGGACCATTCCACTTTCAAAACCGGCACACCGGCATAAACCGGTTTGACAACCTTGGGTTGGACCATTAACCCTCAAGGACTCAACCCACTTCCTCAACGGGGTTGAATGGGCGAAAACAACCTTGGGTCTCAGTCCCACTCCCACACAAGCTCCGCCGTAGGGTTTCATTTCATGTTTATCCACTTCCCTTTCATCATCCACTCTCTCTCATCACTCCACTCCCTCTCACTATCTCCCTACCTGCTTCCTTCTTCTCTCTTTTCTTCTCTGGATTTCTCCTCCTAAAAATCTGCTCATCAATTCATCTCCAGCCTCTCCATCTTTACATCAGGTGCGTTGTTGAAGCTTCCATTGCCTCTCTTTTCAACTTCCCTCTGATCATTTCCTTTCCCAGGTATTGCTATTCCTTTGTCAATCAATCTCCATTTTTGCACAACCTTCATCACTAACTCTGCTTTCAAGTGGTTAGCCTCTTTTTAGCTGTAGATTTGCTTCTTGTTATGTGCAGTAATTTCATCACTTTATCCTGTTACGCTTACTTCATCTCCTTTAACTTTTTTTTTTTTGGTCTCTCCATTTTCGGTTTGACTGTACCAGAATGCAAGGCGCAGTTCAGGCTTTCTTCTCCCGCGCAGGCGTGGTGAAATCTAGTCTCCTGCAGCACGTCAGGGTCCTGAATCCTGCCCTCCGCCCGCTCGTCTTCTCCCGATCAGAATCCGTCTCATCGGCTCGCATCGAGGAGCACGGATTCGAACACACCACCATCGCCGACGTCTTGACTTCCAAGGGCAAGAGTGCCGATGGCTCCTGGCTCTGGTGCACCACCCAGGACACCGTTTATGATGCTGTTCAGTCGGTACGCCGGGCTCCATTCTCTCCTTTTTTTTTCTGCTGCTGCAGTTTCCACTCTTATTGCTGTGTGTGTTTTGACCCTGATCTGAAACTTCTGAATCGATCTCCGCCGTGTAGATGACGCAGCACAATGTTGGAGCCTTGGTGGTTGTGAAACCTGGAGAGCAGCAATCGGTTGCTGGTATTATCACCGAGAGAGGTATCTGCTTTTGGTTGTACAATCTTCCCCGTGTATTGTCTAGTTTGAGGTTCATTGGTCAACTGTCTGTCTCAAGTGTCTCATTTTATAGAACCCCATCCAAGCGGCCCATAAGTACTAGCTTAGCCAACAATCGAAAACAAGATCTGATAAAAACTTCAACAACCGACCCCTCACAACTTGCTGTCTCTCCCTGCGTTAGAGTTGGTGTTGGTGTTGGAACTATTCTTCTTCGGTATGGTGCGTGGCACATTGCGCTTATGGCTCATTTGACTGTAAAATCTACCTTGCTGTTCTGTTTGAATGATTTATCCCTTACGGTCGGGACTGCGGAGCTTTCGAAGAGCTTCCGATGATTGCCATCCCATGTATATGCTTCACTAGTTCGAGGATGATCTCATTTGTTCAATGATATGTTGGTCGATGACATGCTGGAAGGAATTCTGCTCCTTTTTATTTGACGTTGTATTCTTTCCGTTTGTAAATCTGTAGACTACCTGAGGAAGATCATAGTTCAGGGAAGATCATCCAAGTCCACAAAGGTTGGGGATATCATGACTGAAGAGGTATGAATATGTCAATATGATGCCTGATAATGAAGCGACTAAGTGATTCGCTACCATACTTATTGTTTGTGCTTGGGAACTAGTTACAAACTTATAATCATTTGATGAAATTGTGGTTGCAGAACAAGCTTATCACAGTGACTCCTGACACTAAAGTTCTGCGTGCAATGCAACTGATGACGGGTACTCTTCGACAATTAATATGCATCTTCATGCTGTGCTTTTGTATTGAATCAATCCCTGTTTCCTTCACTTATGTGGAAAGCTGATTAACAATGACTTGAAACTATGACAGAGAACCGCATCAGGCACATCCCTGTAGTTAACGACAAAGGAATGATTGGGATGGTGTCCATTGGTGACGTTGTCCGTGCTGTGGTGAGTGAGCATCGAGAGGAGTTGGACAGGCTGAATGCCTTCATACAAGGAGGTTACTAGATAACCATCCAGATGAAAATGATGATGATGACGAAGACAACAACAAAGGAGAGTTTGTAAATATGTGTTTGTACTGGGAATGAATGCTATCCCCCGGTTTTTCATGGTGTTTGAATTACTGCTACCAGACTTGCCAGTTAATAACGAGATAGGTGTGCTCCCTATGTGGATCGGAGCTGTAACTTTCTTGCTGCTGCTGGATGTTGGACAGCCTCTCCCGCAAATTTATTTACTTTTACCTCCCCCCTTGGAAGCTGAAACAATGCTTCTATCGACTTGCATTCCCTAAAAATTTACTGTGCCGTTTATGCAACTCGGATGTTTATAGGATTTGACTAAGCTGCGATGGCTGATGGACGTGGCGCACTGCAGAACCGTTATGCGTGCGTAGATTCTTTTATGTGCTTATCCTAGAAATAGAATCAACCTTTAGTTTTCTTCGGGATCCTATTTTTCGTTTAGATTTGGCAAGTTAGTAATTCTTATGCCAGACCGAGCTGCTGGCTGCGGACAGAGTTATGAAAGTGTCACATGATTAAAGGAAAAATATGTTACCCACTGGACTTGATCAAACACATCAGTAAAAAATTCAACTTTCTAAAACAATTATCTACGGGAATGCTTCCATCTTTCAAAAGGATTTTTTATAACAGGTGCTATTAAAGAGAGTTGTTTTTTTTTTATCAAGGGTGATAGAGATTTGTTTTTTTTTTTATAACAGGTGCTATTAAAGAGATTTGAATTTGAACTTCCAAGTTGAAGATTAGTGGTAATACTAATATTAGTAAACCAAATCTTTGTTCACCCTTTTTCGAGTGAATTTCAACAACTAGACGAATTTAATTTTTTATTAACATAATTTATTTGCCCAATCTTAAAAAAAAAATTAAATTACTTTTAAGAAGAATTAAGTCTTTCGAAGCATTTTAAAAATAATGTTGGAGACATTTCCCAACGTAGTCCGGTGTTCGCTGATTGCGCTGGCTGGTGGCTGCTTATCATCGCGTCACCCACATCATTATTTTTGCAATATCGTCTGAGGCGCTAGGCCGCTAGCGGCATAATAGAACAAGAATTGCAGCCGGCTCCGGCATAAAGATGCGGGGTGGCGGGAGTAATAAAAGCCTCGTAGCGCGTAATCACACGGCCAGGAAGTGGTCCATTATCCTGGTACTCTGCCAACAAATATATAATGTATTGCCCCCACCCTAAATGCACGGATAAAGCCACTGGTCACCCAGGTAGCGTACTTCGAAAGGAAGATTACAGCTCAAAGGTTACGTGACATGACAAGCCAACTTAACATTATTTAAATACACTTAGATTACTGATCTGCCAAGTTGGAGCGAGAATGTGAAAGCGCCTATTCATAAAGAATTATAAGTTCAGAGTATTAATATAGCATTTGTATTATTTAAATTAAAATATTATTAAAAATAATATTATTTTTGGCAAAAACATCCCACACCTGAGGGGTGAACCAGGGGCATTTGGGGTGTCCCGGGACACTCCTAAATTTTGGAAAAATGATTATCCAACCCCTGGTGGTAATTTACATATGGACAAAAAAATTATAATTAATAGTTCGGGACACCCTGAAATTTTAAAAAACTATTATCCTACTCTCGTTTGTAGTTTGCGTATGAGAATATAAGTGGTAGTTTGGCTAATTCAAACCCGGGACATTACTATAATTAATAAATATAATTTACATTAGGCTACAACTTTTTGTTGTTCTATTCTAAACACTGTGCAATAGCAAAACCCTATTCTCTATCTATAATTATTTTCCAAACCTAACAATTAATTTAATTACAAGCTACCCTTAATTTGTATTGATTTTATGGTTGTACGATAAGTGTTAAAAGTTTCTTTTCAGCTTTGAGTTACATCAAGAACAAATTTAAAAGTCGAATATGTGTCAGTCATGAATGATTGTCTAGTAGGATAAAGCGAGACAATTTTGTTGAGCAGTGTGGACACCTAGTGTATTTTACAATTTTTCAGAATACAAAAATACATCATGGAATTTTTTTAACTTGTACGAGTTGGTTATTTTCTTATTTAAGAATTATTTAAGAATTATTATTATTTTATTTATTTATTTTTTGAAAGAGAACACCCCTATGTAAAATTTCTGGGTCCGCCACTGCCTCATAGAGATGACAATGGGTAGACCCATTGAATAATTTGATCCAAATTTCATACCCATATTGGTATTGGGTCAGACCCAAATAGATCCATATAAGTTTTCACATGTTTCATTGCTGAAAAGATTCTCTCCGTAGTAGTCATTGACATTCAAACATGCAGTGTGTTAACACTAAAGTCTAGACTAATCAACCGACAAATAAATTTGTATTGTGTGTCTATCCTTGTTGTTTTTTCTTTTTATTTGATGCTAGAGAAGATGTAATGATGAAGTATCTTCAAATCATCATAACCAATTAATTAGTTAAGCAAATCTACGACTTAACTATTTATAAAATTCTATCCAATAAAAGAAATGAAAAGCTGTCAAACTGCGAAATAATTTTGACTAGGATAAAATCGAAAGAAAAGCATATAAACTGACCACACTGCCTATGACGGTTTAATAAAAAAAAAGTTAACAACATCAAGTACACATCAACAAATAAGAATATAAGAACTTCCATTTTGTAATAATTAAACAAACTAACCATTGGAAGAACTTCAAAGAAGAGTCAATTGTCAAAAATGTGTTTACCACTAAACAAATCACTTGATAGCAAATTGATTATTTTCAAGGATTTTTAAGGAGTGATAGTAATTTATAAGGCCAAATTAAGCATATTAATTAAATTGGTTTAATTTTAGCATAAGTGATAGTATTATGGCTTCATACCAAATACCTCAACACACACCACTTGGCCCACCAAACACCACCTGTCATGCAAGAGGGGTCAAGCGCCAAGCGTTGGCACCCTTCAACATCAACCACCCAAGTCGGCATGGTGGAGGCCAAATTTGGCTAAGTATCAAGACCCTTGTCGGCCGACCACCTACCATGTCCTACTGTACAGGGGGGGGGGGGTGTCCAACATGATGTCTTCCAAGGGGAGTCAAGCATGACATCTTCTCAGGTGAGTCGAGTATGGTGGGATGCAAGGGGGTCTAGTCGCCTACCTACCTTGCACTTAGGTATTAAGCATGATGTCGTGAAATGATGGTGATATCAACTACCTCTAGACGTGGCAAGGGAAGAAGGACAACACTAATCCCTAGAACGTGGTGGCAAAGAAAGGAAAAATTTGGCTAAGTGTTGAGACGCAACCACTAGGGGGTCAAGCATGATGTCATACAAGTGGGGTCAAGCACTATACCGTCAACTTACCTTGTGCTAGGATGTCAATCATGATGTCGTGCAAGGAGCGCCATCACGAGTACCCCTAGACGTGGTAGTGATATCTCACCACTCACCTATCCTACAGTCACAGTGGGGATGAGATTCGACTAAGTAAGGAGTTTTCTCTCCACCACCTACCATGTACTAGAGTACACGAGGGGTCAAGCATGACATCGTCCAAGGGGGTTCAAGCATGATGTCATGCAAGGGGGTCAAGCACCAAGTACCATGTGGCCTACCTACCTTGCGCTAGGGTGTCAAGGATGATGTCGTGCAAGGAGCGCCGTCACGAGTACCCCTAGACGTGGCGAGAGAAGAAGGAAAGATTGTCGAGGTCTCACTACTCACATGCCCCGCAATCAAGCACATAGATTCCACATACCAAGCACTAGGTGTCAAACATGACATCGTATAAAAGGTGTAGAAACAGTGGGGATGAAATTTGGCAAAGTATCAAGACCTAGCCACCCACTCCTCAAGCAGGTTGCATACCCTCCTATCAAGCATTAGGGTGCCAAACATGATGTCAGGCCAAGGGGGTAGGCACGAAGCACCCTCATGGTAAGTAGTCAAGCATGCTAGACCTTGTAGTCGTGCAGGATACCTGGTAGATATTAAGGCCATTAAATTTCTAAGTGTCAACCATATATATCATCATATGGTAGACCACCTTGTCAAGACCCTGCAAGCATGATGTCACCACAAGGGGGCCAGTGAGCATCCATCAAACCCCCAAGTACCCTAGTGACGGGCATGACGTCATGTTAGGATGGTTAGCATGCGTACCACCAAGCATGAAGCCCTCACTCACCAAGTAAGACACCTCCATGGCATAAGAGGCTAGCTATCAAGTGAAGTCATCAAGGTGCAAGGTATCAAGTGGAAAGCACGCAAGACAGTCAAGGGGTCAAGCAAGCTACGTCAAGCACCAAGCAGAGCAGCGATTACCAAGAGGAGGTTACAAGTGATGGCTATAAATAGGGGAAACAAAGACGAAGCAGCACAATGTCAAAATTTATCATTTTCTCTGTAATTAGCCATAACTTTTAGTTTCTGGAGCTCTCGCTAAAACTCCATAGGAGTAGGTGTAATTAACTTAGCTTTGTTCCCAAAAAACCATAAAAAAAATCAAACACCCTCGTTAGAACATTGTTCGCAGAGGAGTGAACCTTGATGATTTTCGTTGTTCAAGAAGTCAAGGTGCTTTCATTGAGTTCAAACACCAAAATTTCCTCATCGAAAAACAAATTGGCACACCTGGTGGGACTACTGTTTGTTTGATTTGATGGCTTCTAGGTGAAAGAATCAAGAAGGTGAACTTCCACAAGGTTCTGTGGAAGAGGAGCAAATGGCCGGCAGTGAAGCATGCTAAGTCGGAGGAGCTTCGCGTAACCTTGCCAGAGTGGAGGTGCCACCCACGTCGGCGCCAAATGTAGATCTAGGCGAGGCAGTGGTGTCTCTTCATCAGATGATGGAGGAGAACAGCAAAGCAATGGAGGAGAACTGCCTAATGATGGTGGATAGTCGCCAAGCAATGGAGCAGAGCCGCCAAATGATGGTGGAGAGTCGTTAGTTGATAGAGGAATCTAGAGCTATGGCTCATCAGGTAAGCTCTCTAGTTGATTGTCTCAATTCCCGCGTAGATAGACGTTTGGGCCAATTGTTTGAGGTTATTAACAAACATTCAAATGAGTTGGATCAATTTAGGCAATTATTAAATGGACCAGCAGTGCAATCATGAGCTTTGCCATTAGATGGCACAAGTTCAATTCTAGACAATACAAGTTTTTCTCCCGTCGTTGGCCGGAATGGCCAACTACGACAAGATAACTTACCGCCGCCGGTGACAACCCAACCAACCTCTCACCACGTGAATGGTGGCGAGATTCCCGCCGCCACTCAAGTGGAGGCATCCCTTAATGTGGGAGTTGGAGAACTTCCCGCACGTGAAGAAAATTTTTCCACTATGTTCAACACTCATGCTGAACAAACTCCATCAATCCCGGTGGCGAGACCCTATGCTGCTCCTACTAACATGGTTGGGGGAGGAAGGTTAGGTGTTGGGGATCAAGTTCCTCCATGTGCTTACCCAACACCCATAC